CTAATATACATTTTCCTGTGGATGACTTCCATAATTAGTAAAAAAGGCAGAATAATAATGCCTTCCAGTACTAGAAAATGTTGTAGAAGTTATTCGAATGGAAGTAAAGCGAAGTTTAAGAAATAACATTTATTTTCAGAAAGAAGCACCGCTAAAAGTTTTTCAAAATATATAATTAGCTATTCTGGAATTTTTGGCAAAATAATGCAGCAACATAAAAGTTATCGGTGGAAAATTTTATTCTGCCGCACAGCCAGTCGTGCGCGTAAACAAAGTTTTTACGAAATGAGACAAATGTTTGCATCCCAGGTACGTGTGCAAATAGAGAAGTAGAAGGCGTTGCGATCGCCGGAATCATGTGTTTATTTGTCTGAGCTATCAGGCTCGTTCTAGAGTGCATCGTCAGATATAGAAGGCTTACACGAAAAACAAGCAACAGTTATAGGGCGCAGGGACTAATCAACCGTTATTGGGGTGGGGGGAAGTCGAGGGGCAGAGGGTACAGTCAAATGATAGTGCCATCCTTCCAGAGATGCCCGCGCAGCGCAATGTTTGCCGGTGCCAGATCGATAAATCGATTGAATGAGTTCTCATCTGACACCCAGGCTTCGACTAATTCGCGGCCTGTTTTGTTGCCAACGTGCGCGATTACCCTCGCAGCCACGTAATTAAATTCGTGACCGCTGTTGTAGGTATGGGCGGCCACTTGAGATGATTCGTCACCCCGTTGTACCGCCCGCTTATGTTCGCGTATGTGCGAACCGAGAATACTACCTGTCTGTCGTATGTACTTACGGGAACAATTTTGACTTGTTGTGCGATACACGACGCCTGACTGTTCACAGGGATTTAAACGGTCCTTGATTCGCATAATTAGGCTGCGCATGGTAGGCTTGACACGGTTTGCAATTGCAACGCCTAGGCCTGCAGCAATGCGTTCGGTCGCTTCCGATACATCCTTGATACATGACACCGCATGCCATATCGGTGGACAAACACGTACACGTCGCCTTATAAAGCCTTCGTGTAGTCGTTTCGTATAAACTGGTCGCGAAAAAGTCGGGCCTTATGTGCATTTTCTTCCAGATTACTGCAATGAGACTGGATTCTATTGAAGAGTGTTTTTCTGCAGTTTCGTTTGTGATCCGCCGGATAGTCGCTGTGGAAATTAAGAAGCTGTGTTTGTTGCCTTCCTGTAGACCGTTGTTTCGATCTTGACGTTGGAAGTTCGCACGAGGAGTACATCGAGGAAGGGGAGCTGCTGATCCCTTTCATCTTCCTTCGTGAATTGTATGTCTGGGAAGATGGAGTTGAGAAGTTCATAGATATTGTGCACCATGTTCCTTTTGACAGTAACACACCTGTCGCCAAGGCAACGGAACCAAATGACAGGGGGCTGTTGGCTGACGGCAATCTTTTTAGGATCTTGTAGGACCAATTCCGCTATGAAACCTGAGATCGGAGAGCCCATTGGAGTTCCTTTGATTTGCACAAATACTCTCCTGCAAACGTGCAGTATGTCTTTCGGTAGAATTCGAACGGACTCAATAACAATATGCGTGGGATCAAGCAAACATGTTGTATGCTCGAAAATGTGGTTTGCACACTTGAAGCATTTACACGTTTCACCAACATGGCCACTGCATAGGAAATAATATCCAAAAGTTAGTTTTTTTCGGTAAATGCTGTTTACTTAAATCTTTTTTAAAGGGTTTGATATAAACATCGAACAAGCGGACAAATACTACACTTAGCAATGAATACACGGACAACTAGCTAAATGAAAAGAGATAATATATTCAACGATATTCAATATGTGCGTATATAATCATTCCCACATAAACAAAAAATGTTGACTAAAGGTAAGTACTTTTTGTATAAAGAAAGTGTTCCCTTGATGTTTTATGTTTAACAAACTATTTAAGTTTATTTTTCTAATTTATTGCTGCATTCCTTACGTCTCCACAAGCTGAGAATTATCGAGAAAATTTTATTTTCCTTAACAAACACTTAGCACTTCTTATAGTTATTTTAAGTAATTAATATAACAAATTCTGCTCATTATAAGTTATAAGTTTTCGCAAATGTGTTCCCGTTGGTATGGACGAAGTAATTAAACATCTACAAATTTAGGAAATGTGCTTGCAGAACTGTACATAAATTATTATTGCGCACGTTTTCTATAAAATATATTGGAGTGCATAGAGGCAGTCAAATTTATGAAAAAAAGGCATACTACTTAAGCTTTTAATTTATCTAGTAAATGCTTGTTCTTGGCGGTCAAAAAAAACTCGTTCAAAAGCAGGCAGCGTGTGGTATCCAAAATATATTGAGATAAGGCTCTACGTTCGCGTCATTTACAACCACCGCAATGAATATATTCTTAGCGAAGACTCATTTGAGAATTCCGCGTGACATTTCATGAGATAGCAAATCTGATGTATAGATGTAAAACTATGTTTTAATGTAAACGCCTGGATAATAAAGAAGTTAAGAAGCCTAGTGTTGTATATGGTAACTGTGTCCTGGCCAATACGTTGTAGATTTTTTGGGTTTTGTTCGTCTTTTATGATTTAGGGTCGTATATTTTGGTATGAGATTGCGTACTAGCGTGGCCCAGTGTAAAATGGTGTATGCGTGCATATGTATCACAGTCGTTTATAACGTGAGCTGTATTCCGCTAGGCAATCAATTCGAATACGCGCTAAATAAGGTGCTCGGCATGGCAGATGATAAGTTATTCGGAAGGGCAGTTGGCGAGCATACGTATACTTTTGATAAATTCTCTTCGGGAAAGGTACAGGGTAACAAGCAATCAATTAATTGTCGTTCTAATCAACTTAGTC